GCTGTGCTGGGAGTGGGGAGCGCCCCGGGGCCCGGCTGCCGTCATGGGAGGGCACAGGCTGGCGGGGCACAGGCTGACAGGACGAGGGGTGTATGGGCCGTGTCCACCACCCTTGCAACACACCCTCCCCACTGCACACACCGCTGTGGAGTGTGGAGGAAGAAAGATGAGCAGGGGGAGACTCCCCGGTGCAGCCCTTTGAAGAAAACACCAGCATCTTTGATGGTGAAGATCCTAGAGTGTGGAAAATGGTCTTGGAGCACGAGTACAGTGACTCGATTGTGGCTCACAGTAAGCCAAACACATGGGATTCACTGTGAGTTCACAGGTTGGAAAAGACCTTGAAGATCATCCAGTCCAACCATTAACCCAACATTAACAGTTCCCAACTACACCATATCCCTCAGCGCTATGTCAGCTACTCTTAAACGCCTCCAGGGATGGAGACTCCACCACCTCCCTGGGCAGCCCTTTCCAACGCCCAACAACCCGTTCTGGAAAGAAATGCTTCCTAATATCCAGTCTAAACATTCCCTGGTGCAACTTGAGGCCATTCCCTCTCATCCTATCACTTGTTACTTGCTTAAAGAGACTCATCCCCAGCTCTCTGCACCCTCCTTTCAGGGAGCTGTAGAGGGCGATGAGGTCTCCCCTCAGCCTCCTCTTCTCCAGACTAAACACCCCCAGTTCCCTCAGCTGCTCCCCATACAACCTGCGCTCCAGACCCTGCACCAGCTTCGTTGCCCTTCTCTGGACATGCTCGAGCCATTCAATGTCCTTTTTGTAGTGAGGGGCCCAAAACTGAACACAGGAATCGAGGGGCAGCCTCACCAGTGCCGAGGACAGGGGTCAGATCCCTTCCCTGTCCCTGCTGGCCACGCTATTGCTGACACAAGCCAGGATGCCATTGGCCTTCTTGGCCCCCTGGGCACACTGCTGGCTCCTGTTCAGCCGGCTGTCAATCGCACCCCCAGGTCCCTCTCTGACTGGCAGCTCTCCAGCCACTCCTCCCAAGCCTGTAGCGCTGCTGGGGGTTGTTGTGGCCCAAGGGCAGCCCCCGGCATTTGGCCTTATGGAAACTCCTCCAGTTGGCCTCAGCCCATGGCTCCAGCCTGTCCAGGTCTCTCTGCAGAGCCTCCCTACCCTCGAGCACATCAACACTCCCACCCAACTGGGTGTCATCTGCAAACTGACTGAGGGTGCACTCGATCCCCTCGTCTAGATCATCAATAAAGATGTTAAATAGGACTTAAAGGAGTCTACCCCATAACTTCTCTGTAGCCACCATAACCCCTATGGGTACATGCAGGCCAGTAACTTGTCACCCAGATAAGTAAATACATGTTTTCAGAGAGCCTGTACCATTTGCAGTTGCTATATATTTTTTCACACATAATCACACTGTGTATCTCTGCAAGGTAGTTTTAGCCTGACCTGGTTCAGTAGAGGCATCTTTGTATCAAACAGTTCTGTGAACATCAGTAAGTCTTAGTAGAGGGCAGCGATTTAAGCCGCTGTGCCACTGCAGCAAATGCACATAAAAGTTAAACCTGCATTTCCAGCAATTTGCAAGTGATCAGCGTTGCCACTCCAAGATGCAGCATTTGTTCTCTCACACACTGGGAGTATTCTGAAGGTCCGCTGGAGAAGATGGTATCATTGCTGCAGTAGCAGCAGAGGTGTTCAGGGAAGGAAGGACATACACATGCACAGGAAATCAAGCTTTATTTGTCACACAGAAACTAAATTCTCAGGAAATTTATTCATCATCTCCTTATATAGACAGGTCGACTAAACAATATGCTTATGAGTAGCCAGATCGCTATTGTAGATATTTTTACTGGCAGATCCATTCCAAATGGGGGACTTTATAATCAACAAAACCATTTTCTTGGTAATAAAAGCGATGTCTACATTTAGAACATTTACTTGTGTGCCAGCAACTTTTTTACAGTATAGATCTAAAATGTCAGAGCCAATAATACAAGCTAGAGTTCTGATGGTTTAACAGCCAGTTTATATTCCTTCCTTCCTTCCCCTGCAGATTTAAATGTTAGTGTTCCCCTTCATAAACCCACAATTATCTGAGTGTAGTAATAACAATGTTTAGCAAAATAATTATAACATTTTTATCATCGTCATTCTAGATAAACGGGAAATTAACACTGAAGAGTGTGCCTGCATGCCAGTATATTGGTTGTATGTTGATGTCAATTAGACTAAAGAGCTTCAGAAGGTTAATCATTGGGGCAGGGGGCAGGGTTTACCGATTCAAATTAATGTTTTTTCCTCAATCTATTTATAATATAATCTGTGTTTTGGCTAATAATATTAACACAAGCAATTTCAACTGAGTAAGAAATTATTTTGAATATCTTATGAACAAATTTAAATAAAATGTAATGCTAGTTCAAAAAATATTAATAAACAAAATGCACAATATATTAATATAAAATTTAATCAATTTAAATATTAATATATTAATATATTGACATAAAATATTGATAATGCATATAGATTCTCCTCTGGACACTGCTCCTGGAAAAAAAAATAAATCTTAAGCTGTTTTCTTTTTTTTCCTTAATGTCTTTTATTTGAAGCATTCCTTTCTCTTCCCTAGCAGGGCATAAATGAATTGTATATAAAAGGTATCAGCCAACATATGTCCCAGAAAGTACCAACAAACCAAATAAAACTCAGATCATCTTAGATAAAACACAATATGTGTTTATTGAAAATTTTCAAGAGAAAGAAGCAAAATATATATTTTCATTGTTTCACAAACAACTTAAGTAGTAACCGCAAAACATTTAAACTTTTTGTTAATCAAAACTCTGTGTCTACCTGGCAAAATATATATCAGTCTGTTTTAATATTAACATGGAAAATAAGTATTTTTAAAGAAATATCAAGTGTCCTTGGAAACCATAGTAAAAATACACTGTCATTCATAAGCTGAAAGTGGTAGCCACAAAGGTGCTCACTTGTTTGTGTGTTGTCAAGATGTTTCTATATTTAAACTGATGTACATTTTCATTTCTTACTTTCAGGATTAAAGTAAAGATTATGGTAATCTCAGCAATTGATATATATCCATTTGAAATATAATTTTGATAGAATATTATTTTATGAAAAGAATACTTTTTCAGATGGTGTCTTTCAACAATTTAATAAACACAAAATCATGTTTACCTCCATCTATGTGGAATTTCAGTAAGAAAAAGTATGCTTCAGATATAAGAGGAAGATAAAAACACACAGATACCCTTTGTGCTTTAAAGATTTAGCTAATGTGGCAGTATTGTGGAATTATGTCAGTAAACTACTAGTTTTGCCAGCTTTCATTTGCATTTCATTTATTTGTTAGTATTTTGATTCAGTTAGCTAAATGTAGGCAGAGAGACTGGAAAAGTGTTAGTTTTTGTTGATATACTTGTCTACGTAAGGGACATTTTATTAGCACAGCAAGGTTGATCAGGAACAAGGGAAAAAGATGTGACAGCCTTGCTAGCAAAACTGTATCAACCATACCGCCACATATGTGTGAAGTTTGAAAGTTGGTGTGACATAGATTTTATAGAACAAAATGTCACAGCCTCGTTCTAAATGATTCAGAAAACTTTGTATCTCATTTTCCTGTTACAGATATAATATGGTTCTTAAAAAAAAAAAAAAAAACAAAAAAAACCCAAACAAACCAACAACAAAACAAAACAAAAAAAAAAACACCAGCCCACCAGATTAATGCCTTTAAAGGCTTCTAGAGCAGGGCCTAAATTTTCAAGAAGAGAAAAAAAATTATGTCAAATTCCAGTTCCGGAGAAGAGCTAATCATAATTTCAGTAATAAATAAATAAATAAATAAATCAGCATGTGTTCCTTTAATTTTTTTTTTCTTTTAAACAGTGGCTCATCAGTGTACATATTCTTTTCAAGCTATATTTTAAAATTAAGAATTAATTTTCCATCTATAGCTCCTTTCACTTTGCTAGAATTCAGACATAAATACAAAGTAAAGGCATTAAAATTTTTAGTCCTTTTTACAACTTGAAGTTTTCCTTAAATACTATAGACAATACAGAAATATCCTAAAGAAAGCCAACATGTATGAATGGAAACATCAACTCCCTTATTCCTATTCTATCAGAAGGTTTAGGTATTTTGATTAATTTTGAAAACGGGGAAAAAAAAAATGTTCGGTGACTCAAATGCTCACGAACCAAAACCTTTAATTTTTAGCTTATATAAAACTTGATTTCTTTGTTGTTCAAAATAACTTCTGAATCAAAATGTGTATCCAACCTCTATGAATGCAGGTCAGATAGTTCAATACCATCCTCAGACATTTTAAGCACATCTTTGATGACCTAAAGCTCGAGGTGCAAGAGTGACATCAGGTAAGAGAGAGTAGAACTGCAATGTCTCAACAAAATGTTCATTAGAGGAAGATTTTCTTTTGCCAGAGTCATAAAGTAAAAAAAAAAAAAAAAATTGTTGGATCTGTGGGCCAAATATCTCCAACCAAAGGAGCCCGTTATCAGCAGGCAATTCTTCTTTCAGCAGGTTACACTGTAGCCCCACCTGAAAAATGAAGATTGAACATTCAGCATTTCCACCACAAATGCCCTTTGCCAGCTCTTCTGGGCTTTTTTCGCTCCAGTCCTTTTGAGGCAGCAGGTGGGAACCTCTTGTCCCCACAGGCAGCTTTCCCCATTTGTCTCACTTCCCATTTCCAAAGGGCTGTGGGATTGCTAACCTGATGCTTCGGTTACATCCCAACCACAGAAACAGAGGAAAATAAGTGACTGTCGGGACCCTGAGGGCACAAACAGCCTTCATAGCCCTGACCAGCCTCCCCCAGCACATCCCAGGTTGTGTCCAGCGGGAGGTCTCCTGTGTAATCCTGCCCAAGCCTGACCCCAGCACCCAGGCGGCAGCTGCAGCTGTGCCGGAGCCCACCATGGCACCCTCAGGCTGAGGCTTTCTGAAGTGACAAGGGATCCCAGATCTCTCAGAAATGCCTGCAAACCTTCTCCACACACCTCCTGCATTTCACTCATGCCTTAGTCATTAGTCCCATAGTGGAACAAATAACATGAATTAGAGCTTTAAATTGACCTGTATGGCAGCTAAGGGCCAGGTCCGGGCTGTTCCCAAAGAGCAGGGAGCTGAGGGCAGCCACGGGGGAGCCTGAGCCGTTGCCTCCCTGCGGGCAGGCATGTGCAGAGTGGTGGTGATAGCAAATGGCCCCCATGAATGGGACAGCTGTCATCAGGTAAAGACAAGGCAACCAGCTCGGCCCAGGGCCAAGGCAGGAAACCCAGCCAGCCATCTGGGCTCCTGGCCAGGGCAGGCATGCGGGGATGTGGGGCAGGCCAGGGAAGCAGGACCCCCAGGCCAGAGCTGAGATGGGCCTTGGCCAGAGCATACACGGAGTGCCCCAGGCAAGGCTGATCTGGGCCACACAGGCTGGTTTCCACACACAGAACCACAACAGTCAGTCACCTCTGTGGTGGCAGAGACCTCACGTCATGTAATTTCCTTCATAAGGTGACGTACATCCATCTTTTGGGCACACTATGGCTTCCTATACTTGTCCTTGATGAAGAATATTAATTACCAGTACCTCTTACAGACCGGTGAGTTTTTTTAGGATGAAATTTTCAAATCCCTTATCTCCAACCTGTTTCTGCCCCCACTGAAAGTATTTGTAAAATTCACATCTACTTCAGCACTGATCAGCTCAGAAGGTAGGAAACTGATTTGGTCTTACCATGTGGTTTGAAACAAAGTTTCTTGTTCTTGTAAGCAGAGTAAGCTGCTATTGATCCAACAACTAATATTACAAAAGCAGAAATTATAGGAGATGTAACTCCTGCTATTAATCCTGAATCTGTGGGAAAAGAGAGAGGGTTTTTTCAGAGGCACTGAAATGGTTTTACTTAAGCATATTCTCTACTAAGGTGTGCTTTTGCCAAACTATGAGAATTGTTTGGTGAAACATTGTAAAGTCATTAAACAGAATTAAGCAGAAGACTAGTAATTATGTTACATTACAACTGATGTGAAAACAGTGTCTTAAATCCTGATTCAGTTCATGTACTACATTTACAAGGCTTTTTCTTACTATTTTATGTTGATCAGAAACAAATTATAGAATTGTTTACTATACCTGTGTTTCCTCCATGGTTGAAATGATGCTCGTCTTCTCCTGGAATAGAGGGTGAAGTTTCATCAAGAAATGTTTTCACCTTGTTTTGAGAACAGTCTTTACTCAGCGAAGTGTGATTTCATACAGAAGGTGAAAGGGGGCGTCTCGGCAGCATTGTGAGAGAGGAGCTCCCCTTTCCAGTCCTGACTGACAGCTGCACTGGCCAGAGGAAAAACCATCCTTTTTCCTGACATTTTGGTTTTGGAGAAGCCATGGTTTGTGGAGAAGGATAACTAATCTAAATAAAAATAGCAGAGTCTTGTCCTACACCTTCAGTGCCAAACAGATTACTGCTAAAGCAAAACCAACCAGCTCCAAGTTACAAGTATTAGGGAGAAGTTGCAAGGAGAATTGATAAATACTACCTGTTATGTGCGGTGGTAAAGGCTTCCCATCAAAAAGATCTGAGTCATCAAAACCTCCTGCAAGATAAAGATTAGGATATCTGTTGCAAAATTATCTGAACATGGTAACCCCTTCAGGTCCCTTGTCTAGTCTTTTTGTAATGTTCTAGGGAGAGGTGAGGGACCTTTGAAATCACAGCTTCAACATGGCAGATGGATCAGGTGTCTTGCACTGAATGGTCACCTACTCAAATTCACCTGGAAGCTGGAGTACTAAAAATGTTGGTGTTTACCCATTTGGCATCTGTACTGGCACCTGTGGGATGTGTGGGCTTGGGCTCTCAGTAGCACAGATCCTTATATAATATGGACATCTCAAATTCCAGTGGTTCCTGGAGCAGGAATTCAGTGGGTCCTTTCCAGGAAAGACTCCAGAAGGACCAGTCCATGGCTCACCACTACAATCATACCAGAAGTAAATATAGGATACATGGTGGTAGCTGGGATAGATATGCCACTTCCACTTGGTTTGAGCAGGTGTCTGGCACCACACTCAAAAGCGATACAGGCTTACAGCCATCTCCCCAGTCCCACCTGTTGTATGTCCCAGGGCCATCTCAGATGCACATCTCAGTATGGATTTGAACATAGACTTATCCACACCCTGTGGTTAGATGTCAAATTTGAACCTTAGCATGGTTCAGTGTATACATACCCAAAATGAAAAGATAAACAAGATGTTAGCCTCATGCCAATTAGGAGTCAATGACACACATTTTGGACAGACAGAAAAGCTTTATGGTACCAACACTAAAACTCAGAAAGTCTTTCCAAACACTGGGTCAGGAACAGTGACTACAAAAGAGAGATGAAGGGTAGGGATGATAAAAGCTATTAATGAAGAGATAAGAGAGTAAACTATCCAAAATATCTGCTCCAAACAACTCATAGTGCTAGATTTTCTTAGGAGAAAATATTCTTACCAGAATTAATATGGCTTCCCGGTCGTGGTGGAAGAGGTGGGTATAAAGGTTTTCTTGAGATGTCACCTATTGATAATGAATATTGTTAGATGGTTGGACATGCAAAACTGAGAGCTGTAAATAGAGAGTATGATAACCTGAGATATTATACCTACTTCTAACGTCCTCCAATTGTGAATTAAGAAAAGGACCTTGTCACTAGCTAAAAAGTCTCAAGCACTGTATCAACAAAATTATTTAGAAAGGGAGAAGGGAATATTTTCAAAAATAAAATGATAGAAGAATTCACAAATACGCTGAAAGAAAATATTTAATGTATTTCTGGCAAGTGCTAACAGCTGGGAAGCACAGTGTGTTACTGTAGGTTTCCATGGTGCAGTTATGCAGAGTTCACAGAGAAGTTGGTGTTCTGGGCTGGGCAAGAGGCAACAGGTTATCTCTGTGCCATCAGCAAATATTAATAAGATCTGCAGATTAGTGTAACAGATGCTAAATTCATCTAATGCATGATACATTTTCTACTCTTGAACAGTGCAAAATTACTTCAGTTTTGTTATTTAGAACTTTGTGATGGTATTTGGCCTTAATTTTTGCCAGAGTATTAGAAGGAGATGCATTGGATAGAGCAGGAGATCTGATGATTAATAGCAGTTTCCAAACTGCACATACAATGCTAGAGTAGCAAGAGCCAACTCAGGTCAAAACCTGCAAAAGTTAACGTCTGGGTCTGTTGCTCTGCATATCTAGCATAAGTCCCCTCTTGCTGTCTTTTTTCCAACCAGATCAGTTGCATAGTTAACTGCTCTCACAGTCAGACAGCAAATTTAGCTCTGAGCAAATCAAAATTAGGTCACAGAAATAAATACCTATTTCCCTTCTTCTTCTTAAATCTTTTTTTCAACTTCAATACATACCAGATGCCCTTTTATCATGTTTTCTTCTTGCCTAGCTGCCAAACATACTGCTTCTGTTTGTGAGTAACATTTAGGTTCTGATTCAGCCATTTATTTAGATATGTGCTTAACTTCAAGTGAGTTTAGCCTACTGCAGTCAATGGATTTTAGATAGAGTCTTAAAGCTTTGCTGAATCAGACTTTGCCCAATTAATTATGTTCAATAGAAGAAGAGATTTGTTCTGTTCCAGATCTCTCTGTAATGAACTAAGACTCACCATGGCACAAAACCAGGGAACTACTGATTCCATTATTAATTTCTATTATGTTGCTGCATTTATTCAGATTTCTCTAAGCATAAGAAGATATATTCTGTGGCATAGCTAGTGAAAAAATAATGTCTTCAGAACTACTGATAATGAGGTATGCATCATTAATCCCGTTATACCATGTATGAATATCAGTTAAGAGCCTGAACTGAAAATGGAGCAAAGACGTAAAAACCGAGGGAAACATCATTTGCCATCCACTGAGTGAAAAGGTGGGGTTTAGTGAAAATATTTAAGCTATTCATCGATAATTTTATCAACATACTAAGCCCATCCTCTCATAACAGTACTCATTAAAAACTTTCAGGAATGGAACAATTAGTACAGGCAGAAAGAAAAGACAATGTATATGAGAATTATAAATAAAATTAGATTCAGTTTTATAAAGTGTAGACTAAAACATCATTCAAACACAGGTATGAAATGCCACGGGGCATCCTGGAAATGCAGAAAATCCTGGAAATGGGAGAGAATACTATAAAAGGTATGATTCTCTAATAATGAAACATAAGTAAACCAGACCACTGCAACTGGAGTCATAATTCAGAGGTTCTGTGCAATTGGCTGAGACATTTTCCCCTTGTGTAGCCTTGATTCAAGTGCAATTTCAATACTTGCATTTTAGATAATTTCAGTGTACAAGAACCTTTCTAGAGTACTTCACATCCTTGGTATACCTCTTAACACACTGAACAAAATGTGGTACAAAAATTCCCACAGTTAAGGATTTCATAAGTCTGCACAGCCCAGCACAGTACTGTGAATACTCCCTACATCAGGTCTGATGTTACAGAAATACCTGGAAGTTACAGCATGTTACAACAGCTTCACTGCTTCAAGCTTAAGCTATATCATGTCCACCAGTGCTCATCTCTCAAACATTGCTTCCTGCATTTCTGATTTGGGATCAGAACAACAAGCTCACACCTCTTTCTGTCCACTGTTACCTCTGATTCCTAATCTTAGGCAGATTCACTTTGGTAGCTGAAGAAACTACTGCCATCACCTGATGTCTTCAACCTTCAGCCAGAGAGGCCACCACCCTGAACCATGACAGCTGAAGGGGCAGAATGACCTCTCCCCAGCCGTGACCGTGGTACCCTGGCATGGTAATGTAAACTGTAGCTGACTTCTGTTCATGCAGGTAGGTCAGCCTGCAAGCCCCGCATAGCTGGCAACCAGGCACACCCCCTCCCACTGTCCCTGCTCTGCGCGGTGGCCTCTGACAAAATGGCTGCATGTACATGAGTTGTAATGACTCCCACTACCACAGTTCCTCCTGCAGTCTTGCAACCTATTTTCACAAATTAGTTAGACTTCAGAAAAAGATTACAAAAAACCTCAACCATTATATATGAGGAAAGAAGAGAGTACTCACCCCCACCAAGAGCATCTCCTAAATGCAGATCATTGTCTAAAAATGAACAGGAGGAAGATGTGAGTTACACACAATTCTTGAGGGAAGTGAAATATTAGTTTTAATAGAAAATGTGAAACTGAATGTTTGTCAAGCAACTTTTTCAGGTCAGTCCCACAAATTCAAATAAGGTATTACACTTTTTTTGAAAACTTTTATAGAATTGAATATTTGTCCACACAGTAATTGAAAAATTATATAATATTTTCTACTCAAAATATGAAAGATTCTTTCCTGCTTTAAATAAGCTCAGAATAAATCTCACAGTGGGATCAAGATCAATACTTCTTTAATATATCTGCAAGTACATAAATAAAATCAGCTATGTTACAATATTAAAATGTATCTCTTTAAAATTTATTAAAAATTATAATTTATTAAAAATTATGTCCGTGGTTAAAACTGGTATATGCATGTTTGGTTTAAGTGTAATTTGTTAAACTGCAAAAAGTAACACCCATTTCAAGAACAAATAAGCCATAAACCTGCTTGGGAAGAGAGTATTGAATCAACTAATTTATGTAAGGGGTCATGGTGACATAAAAATGTTTTGCTTCAAGAAATCCTATGTGCCTGTCTGAATTTGGATGACAGTCTGTTTTAATTTGGCTGAGCTATAAAGGTTTTTAAATGTACTTAAATATCTGCATGTGCATGTTATGCAGTAAATCAACAGGCTGTTGCCATTCCCCCAGCACGGTACATGTGTCTCACTGTATCTGGGATGGAATTTTCCATCTAATAAACAATTTATCCGTGAACTGCAGATGCATAAACAAGAACTCAATTTCCAACATGCAGGTGTTGATATGAGTATGTGGGTAAATATTTTAGGGTGTCTATGGACTGAGGGTGAGCTCTGGAAGTTCACTGAGTAATAGGCAGAAATACTTTAAATGGATGTCATAACTCTAAGAATCTCATTCTTGTTTCTTATAAATGTGGAGTGCTAGAATGAATCAGAAGAAAAGGCACAGCAAAATCTATGTAAATTTTGATACCAATGCTTATTGCCACAGAAAATTAGGTAGATACTCAATTAATTTTTTTTCATTATATTTTTTTCAGAATTCCTGAAACCCAGGAAAATCCATCCAAATGTGTCACTGTGCAGAACCCCACCTTCTTGTGTTCCTGATATCCAGAGGGAGTGGGAAGCTGCTGTCAGTATCTAGTCTTATTTGTGTAACAGCACAAAAGTGCTTTGATGTCACCAGGAAATCTGGCAGGAAAATAATCAAATTTGTACTACATGACTCAGTTTGTTCTTGTCAAGTCAGGTGTTGATCCTGTCTGTGCCTGGCCAGCAGAGAGTTGCATTTCAGAAACAAACACCTTTACCTGTCAAATGCTAACACTGTGAGAAGCAATAAATTGCAAACTGTATTCAATTTATTATCAAGATGAAGAATTCATGTAAAATTCAGGGTTCTGCTCCGGAAGGTTCATGCAGAGACGTTGCAGAAATGCTAAGGTTGATATGAATGAAATACAAATGAAAATCCATGTGTCTGTGAAAACCAGAAAAAACAGCAGACCAAAGGGTTAAAAGAACAGACAATAAAGGTCACCATTCCCAGCAGTAAAATTGAGGAATGTGTTGTTCCTGTCAAAACCAGCAGGCCGGCGTTCCAATAAAACGACAGACAGATGACTTGTCAGCAGAGGAAAAGCAGAAGGGCACTTTAAAGCCAAAGATTGCAGCAATATCACCTATTCCACTACTTCCCATGCACCCACCCAGAAAATAGACTGTAGACATAGTCTGTGTACCCCAAACAAGAAAAACCAGAAAGTGGGCAGCAATCTGGCCTAGGGTTCAGAGACACTGAAGTAAGCAAGATTATGAGGCAAAAGCTGATGACTCTCCATAATAGCTGATGACCCCTACGGGTTATAAAAGACCTGTACATAAGCTGGCTTGTCATTTCTGATCAAGAAGAACCACAGAGACAGCATAAGGACTCAACAGCTGGTGTACCTTCTCCCGTGTTGTTCCTGATGCTCACCAGACCACCTAAGCACACACATCTTGGCACTCATGAGCAGGTAGGCTTGAGCATATGGCTGAATTAAATCAGTGGCAAGAGGAATGTGAATAGGTACAACCAACTTTTTTAGAGATTTTGTAAATAAACATCATCTACCATTAAATTTTGTTACACTAGATGGGAGGTGCTTACAGAAGAGCTTCAACTTAGGGAAGTGATGCCCAGAGGACATGGCCTCTACAGTAATTGGCCTCAGCTGAACCTAAATTATCATCTCAGCCAGCCTCATTTCTCAATGATACTGGCTGAATAAGACATAGAGGAAACCCTGAGGTTAAGATGAAGCATCAGACACGTGCTAGAACAGACTTTTGTATCATCTTTCTGCACTTTCCAAATCCAGTCATTGATTTTTAACAGAGTTTTTTTTTTTAAATTAGTTTTAGTTGCTTTTAGACGCCCTGCAGTCCTCTTCAGTGCTGAGAGAGATTCCAAAATGGTCTGGAAAACATGGAGTTCTTCATTTCCCAGAATTAGTGAAGTCAATTCAGGTAGGGCAGAAAATCATCTGACAGTCACACCTCTAACAGATTTAGGAATCCCTAAAAACCAGATTCCTTCCACCTGACTGAGGTAGCTTCACTATAGATATCAGCATCCCTAGGTTACCTTGAAACATGGCTGAGGACAGATGCTTTTAGGGCACAATTCAAGTAATCTGCTTGAAATGCCTATGTTGGGATGAGAACAGTTCCACATTTACCGTGATATGAACTGTCCCTATACATGCTGATTTCTCTCCACTGACTAAAGGAAGTCAGGACAGTTAGTTAAGTAGAGGGCAGTGGCTTAGCACTGCTTGAGAACAGACACTTCCAGTCTAGACCAACCATAGATTTTCTTTGCAAAATTAAGTGGGAAGGAAGAATGCAACCATTACAGAATTTAGTAACTACCACATTTACTAAATGCTGTCCCTCTGTTCAAAAAGTGAGCCAGAAAATTGTGTGGAAAATGTAACTGCTTTTGTGTACCTAAAGACTTATTGCAGTGTTTATTCACAAAAAGACAGAAAGTTGTTGTGTGGGCATATGTTATTCAGCATTTCCTGAGTCAAGCATTTTGTTTGATAGCCAGAAATCTCTTTCAGTGTAGTTTAGTTGAAAAATCTCTATGTTATCATAAAATGTTCCATCATAAATGCATGTGTGGTTTTGTTGTTTTTTGGAGTTTGAACAATAATGAATGTTCATTGGAAATCATCTTTTATCATCCTCAGGACTAAACTTTTTGGTTCTCTTCAGAGCCTTCTTCATTTCTGACACAGGTCTTTGTAGCAATCAATACTAGATAATATTAAGTAAATACATGGGGAGAAGAAAGAATACCCAAATTCCTTCTGATTCTTTTCCAAGTCTGTTATGAAGCATCATGAATATTTATGCTAAAAGATAATGGGGAAAAAAAAAAAAAAAAACCAAACAAAAAAAACAACAGAACAGCCATTTTTAGCAAGGGTTACCCACAATTATAGTCCCCAGGGAGTTCAGTACAAGCTAGAAAACTGTGAAGAACAGGAAATAGAATGCCATCACTGGCCAGTCACGCTCTAAAGCCCTAGATAAAGCGGAAGCGATAAAGGCATGCAAATGGTAATTGTCAAAAAATCACTTACTTTACATGCAGAGGACAGCTAGTATTCACACAAATGATCTCAGCTATGGTACATTAGCAAAGGTGATCAAGAATCTCATGAGAGACAGTTTCTACTTTATTACTTACTCAGCACAGGCCTTGTTGGTCTTCTGATCACTGTAGGCTTCCTGGTAATTATGTCATCTGTGGGACACAATAACATGCCAATAAACAATAACAACTTAAACTTTTTCAACTTAACAAAATAAGGTATCTTCAAATCTAGAAAGCTGCATTCAGTAAATCTTGATGTATCACAGCAGAAGCTAAAAATGAAGAGCTATGTTTTTAAAGTCATTATTTATTTTGTTTTATTTTAAAGACACTTTTATGACAGAAACATTGAAATTTAGCAATTCCCAGTTTTGTTTATCTTTAACTTAAGCAGTAGCCACTTCATATTCCAGTCCTCAAGGAAAAGGACTTAAGATTTATTATTAGGCTATAGTAAAACAAGGATAGGAGATTTACCTACCTGGGTGATCAAGAGCATCAGCTAAATCAAAATCACGTTGACCTAGAAGGAAGGTGACAGAAAGAAAGAGACTAAGTCAATGGGCAGGTTTCCATGACCCCGAGGTCTGAGGGCTCTGGACAAAACCAGAACACTTAGTAAGAGGCAAAACAAAAATCCATCCAAACAGAAGCAGGCGCCGAGCAGACTGTCAGCTGTTGTCCCTGCACTGTGCAGCCCTGAACGACCGTGTGACTTGGGCTCATTTAACTCAAAGAAGCTATTCGTTCAAGGTAGCACAAAGAAAAGCTGCTCTCTCATGTTATCCATATCCAGCCACTGTGCAAACATACCTCCGAAGAACAGAGGCTGCCTGTCACAGGGCACAAGGGCTATTGCCAGGAGACGGCTGAAAGCAGCATTCAGCACTGTACTTGCAAAGCAGAATCATTAGGTGAGAACTTTTAATGTCTTCATTATTGTTTTACTAGCTCAGCTTCAGAGAACAGCTTTACTGGCAAGCCTGCCTTGTGATCACTTGTAACATGAATCAACTTTTTTTTTCAGTTCTTCCTGTAAGATGAGCCAGCAGTAAAAGATATAAAGATGTGTTTACCTACATTAGTTTCCGCTGTATCTTAAAAAATCTGAAAGGGGAAAAACAACCCTTCCTGTTCTATGTTAGGTGATGTTAAATGTCATTAAATATCATAGAAGGTCAATTAGCATCCTGACCTTTGAAGTTAGCAAGTAAATAAAACTTGAAAGTGTTTAAAATGTATTAAACTGAAGCATACGACTTTGAAGTGAACAAGCACAGTTATTCATGTGTGTTTTACTTTCCACTCTCTACAGTCTGCCACTTTCCTTTTAATACACAGCTTTCATGAAACACCTCTTTGCAGAGTATGTATCCATTAGTTTTAATCCAGACTGAAACTTCACTGACCTTCTGTTTGCACATTAAATACAAGATCAGCCTGCACAAACCCGCAAAAAGTCACAATGTGCCATGGCTTCCCTAAGCAGAAATGTTTTCCTGTGCTCTATGGAGTAAGTCTCTTGATCTGCTGTTTATTATCCTGTCTAAAAGGCTTAATAACTAACTCTTCAATGAAGTGTTTTTCTTGGTAAGTCTCGAACACTTCACAGCAAAAAAGACATCATTGTTCACACAGGGAAAATGAGGAACAGAGAGAGGCCGTCAGAGGATCTCCAGCACAAGAGCTCTCTGGGTTCAGCTCAGCCCTCTCTTCTCGACAGGTGCTGTCTGTCTTCATGGCATTCTTCACATTAATCACTGTTCCTGAATAATAGCACTCTCCTGTGTCAAAGACCTCCTGGAGAGATTAATTATCAGTGGTAAAACACTGTGTGATCCTCAGATGAAAATCAGTGCAGAAGATAAAGTAGAGAAGTTTTGATTCCTGTGAGGATTCTTATGTAAATCTGTGAAGTTAATTATAGTTGGTCTCTGACAGAAAAGATAAAATGAGGCTGGAATGCAAAATAGTGAATGGCTTCTAAAGCAAACTGTCCCTATAATTATTATAAGAAACCTGTGTTTGGAAAGGAGAAGCAGATAGCAGCATAAGGCTTTCCTGGTAAGGTTATTAGAGTACCATTTTATCTCTTATCATTTGAACTTGGAGTGTCACCTGCAACCACCTCTCCTTCCCCTGCCCTGGACGCTCCGCCAACCTGATTAAGTCCAGTAACCTTTGGACTGGGTCCTTAGATGAATAGTATTCCAAGACCCTGTTATTTTTTCTATATTAATGCATTAAAATACATAAATACATAGAAATTGACAAGTGGCTTCCTCAGAAGATATTCCCTGCCTGAGCCCTGAGGGCACCGCCAGCCCTTACTGGCCCTGAGGCCCTGCCCATGGGCTGTCCCAGCCATGGCACCAGCTGATCCCGATGCAGACCCCTGCCCACGGGCTGACATCCTGCCATTGCCTCGACTTATACGGTCAAATTATATTTTTCTGAAGCATTTCTGCAGTACCAGCAATATGAACAACTTAAGTTTGGCTGTCCTTTGATTTTGTCCTCTGGATAAATCATTCTTGATCAGTGTCCTGAGTGCTGAAGGAGGCTGTCTGACCTGAGCCCTGCTGCTGCAAGGATACTACCAGCAGGGATCAAAACAGAGTGAGTCATCAGAAATAGTTTTGTAACACCAAAGAGCTGTTGGCCAAACAAGCTCCTTTTTTACAGGTACTGACATGAAGGAACTAATGATACAGGAAGCAGCTACTGAGGTCCTAACGCTGTAAAGAGAAAGTGACAAAATCATCTTGTGAAGGAAGGGTCTGGAAAACTTCCAGGTGTAAGATTTTTTTGAAGTTAGGGGAAAAAAATAATAGAAAGAGGAATCTAATCAAAAGAGATTCTGGAATTCAAACAAGATGATTCAGATGATTTCAATTGCCTGAGAACCTAAGCGAAACAGCAGACTGAAACAGTTACTTCACATCTGCCCTTCTCTTGGACAATACCAACGTTTGCCTTTCCTGTTGTGTGTCTGCTCTGTTATCGAAAAAGTGGGAAAAGACGAGGCATTCTTTTGAGATGGAAAGGGAGAAATAGAAGACAGCTACAGAAATTTTAAGAGAAAAAAAAAAAAAAAAAAAAAAAGCCTGAAAATCCCCAGCAGAAATTATTCTTTTTTTTTTTTTTTCTAATGATAAATCAAGTAATAAAATAAACACACCAACACAGAATGACTGATTAGGAATAAGACAGGAATCTACATTGAAATCTTTTTGGTTGTGTAAATATAAACTTTGACAGATGGGCAGATTGTATATGGACATCTGTGCAGCATGGTAAATGATATTCCAATAAACCAAAAGATTGCTTGGACTTCCATCCCAACTTCCTCTGATAATAACATCTAATGACCGCAAGGACTAAGATTTTGTGGAGCAGAATTTTAAATGCTTATTACCATTTCTGAGACTGCACCTAGACATTTTAAGAATCTAATTTGGGAGTATAACAGATGGTTAAATAGCTGAACAGCCCAGATTTCATCCACAAAATGGTGGGCCTAAAACCAAAAACACATTAGAGACTCAGAGAATATTTAGCTCAATAGGCACTGCAGTCGCTTCAGGGAACTCTGGAGATAAATGACAACAGAAATAAATTAGTTAATCTTCTTCACAGAACAAACAGACTGAAAGAAATTAATTTTCCACATATAGAAATGGCCTTTTTTTGGACCAGCTTCCATAATAGAAACAGCTGGAAATATACTGATGAAAATTAAAATGAAAGAAATTTTAGTGGGAAGACAACAGCTTTGTTCCTTTGAGGTTTTTCATTTGGTTGGGTTTTTTGGTTTGTGGCTTTTGGTTTTTTGTTTGTTTGGTTGGCTTTGTTTGTTTTTGTTTTTAAACCTCAATAAAGTTATGAAGAGATTTAACTATGAGGGAGGTATCTCAGAGTTATCCCTGTTGTTACTGCTTTGGGCTAGTATTCTATTTCTTGGCATCACTCTTAGCCTTTCTTCTGGGAGTATCCCTTTTTTTTACATAGAACTAAAATTATTTTAATAGTGTTTTTTGTTGGGTGGTCTACAATGGTTCATAACAAAGAATCTGAGAAAAAGCTTATAAGCTCCTGCCTGACAACACAGAACAGTCCTTATCTACAAATGAGAAAATGCTAAGCTAAGAAAGCAAGCCCTCCAGATGGATATACAGTTGTATCACAAAAGGACCTGTTTTAATTATGTTTATACTAGCTGCTCAAACACAATGAACTATACTAACAGCAGGACTTTTGCTGGCGCTGCCAGCCTTATTTGGGATATAATTCCTTCATCTCAAACCAACACATGAAGCTGTGCCAATAAAAATCTGAAGTGTAGGCCTGGCCTACATAGCTAACAGTAGACTTCTCTGTAGCAGCCAGGCAGAGGAGAATTGACTCCATAAAGCCAAGCATCAAAACATATTAGCTTAAACTTCAAAGTTATTTTTACAGGCATGATTCTTCCAGGTAGGATATTTGCTTTCACTAACACCCATACTTTCTATAGCCTTTTCAATATCATGTGTGGAAGGCTGGTGATATAAAAATCCATTGTTTGTCCACTTGCTCTGCTATGGAGACTGTTAGGGTTGCTGTTTGCCACAGAGATACTGAGCCAGCTTTTAGTAAATTCCCTTGATTATAAGACACGTACTGCTGAAGCATCATGGAGCTGAAGTCATTTTACTCCACCAAGGCAGTCCCCTGCAACGTCATGCCCTCAGGCACATGCCCATTTAATGTTCACAAACTTTTGCCCATGTTAGTTTTCCAAAAATGTGACCAAAATAATCTAGTCACTAAAACAGCATGTTTTGACTATAGTTGAATTTGTGACCTAAATGTTAAGTGGATCCATCACCCTCTAGCTGTAGCTGTCTGATTGATCACAAGGGTCCAAGGTCACACAGTTGTTGAGGAGGATTATGAGGAGCAAGGCTGGATTCTGCAGGTGGATGTTACCTGTTCATCACTAAGACTGTAGTCAGAATTTTCTGACAAATGGCATCAATCTGCAATTTTTAATCTCTGAAAGTAGGCTCAATCCTGCACTGGATCCATATGAACACAGCTTGTGGCCATTAAAATGATGCACATTTAAATAAGGCAGCATGAATATTGCTAAATATGAGAGCAGCAAATTAACTTCTCAGGCACTTAATATGCATAGTTTAGTATTAAAAATTAGAATAAGATTCATGAGAAAATGTATTTATATGTGTACATACATGTATGTGGACATACATCTTAAATGCATACATGCACACATCTGTTAGATAAAAGCTTTTGTTATTAATATGATAAAATGAATGGGGTTTGAGTGCATTGCTAGCAGTCATATGGGTGGGATGAGATTACCTGTGTTACAAATAAATTAGAAGCCACTAACTTAGAAATGTGAGCTAGGTAGAAAGGAAAAATAAGTTGATTTTTACATTATTTAAAATCAAGAACAAAAATTATTTCTAAAGTGTAATTAAAAAAAGAATTGCTTTGTGAATACAACGAGCTTAA